TTTGTTTACCTTTGGCACAATCTTCACATATGGTATCTTTGATGAAGTGCAAGTTAGGTAACCCTTTTACAAGATTTTTCTTAGACAATTTTGATATCAATTCCATGTTTGCATGTCCAAGCCTCTTATGCCAAATCCAATGGTTTTCATCAATTGTCGCAAGACACTTCACATCTTGATTCACTAATTCATTCATCTCAAAAATATACACATTAGATTTGCGATTAGCAACAAAAACAATTTTTCCATTCATACTAATAATGCATTTGTCCGGTTTAAAGGAAATATCAAAACATTTATCACTCAATTGGCTAATGCTAAGAAGATTATGATTCAATCCATTTACCAAATAAACATCTTCTATAACGGGTGAAGGTTTCTTACCTATAGAACCTATACCAATGATTTTACCTTTCTCACCACCACCGAAGGAGACGCTACCTCCTTCAATCCTTGATAGGGTTGCAAATAGCTCTTTGTTGCCCGTCATATGATGTGAGCAACCACTATCAATGTACCACATTTCTCTACGTCGTGACCGTGATGTTCTCTATAAAAGATGAAGGTGTAGTAACTTTAGGTACCCAAATCTTGGATCCTTGGTGGTTAGTAAACTTGGTACCTTTGGGTACCCATGTCATGCCATAGAAATCATGATTATCTTTGATTCTACAATGAGTAGAAATATGACCATGTTTCATACAATATGTGCACACAAAATTTTTCTTGTGTGTTTGAGCATGATATCTATGAAATCTATTTCTACCATGGTGATGATGATTAACATAAGTATGAGTGGGTCTAATCCTACTACTCTCAATTTCTAGTCTTTCAATCTTAGATCTTAATTATTTGTTTTCAAAATCAAGATCCCCTAGCAATTCATCTTTTAATGCAAGAGAAGTTTGTAATTGTTCTAGTTGGGCATCACAAGAAGTATGCAACTTTTTAAAGAAAAAAAATTCTTTTGACATCTTTTTAAATTCAACATTCAATTCTTCTAAAGCCGTAGCTAGATCACATTGCATGTAGAAGGATTCACTTTCGGTGTCGGATATTACCTCTTGTTCAAGGGCCATGAAACAAATGTTGGGATTATGAAGAGCAAGTTTAGCTCCTTTTTTATTACTATCCGAATCACTTGGTTCGGATTCCTCCCATCCGGCATACATAGCCTTCTTCTTCTTGTACTTCATGTACTTCTCCTTGAGCCTTGGGCAATCCTCAGCGATATGACCCGGTTCATTGCATTCAAAACATTTTCTTACACGTGAAGAAAATTTGTTGTTGGAACGGGGATTAAACTTATTATACATTTTTATGAGTCTAGAAATTCTTCTAGAGAGATGAGCCACTTCTCTAGAAAATTCAACTTCACTATCCGATGACGAAGAGGAGTTATCACTAGCTCCTTTGAGAGCTATGGTCTTCGATTTTGGTGATGTCTCCTCAACTTCCCGTGAGGGCACTTCCTCCTTCTCCTTTCCCTTGAGTTTCTTCTCATGAACCTTGAGCTTGCCGATGAGGCCATCGAGAGGTAGAGTGGTAAGGTCATGAGCTTCTTCTATCGCCGTCACCTTGGGTTCCCACATCGGAGTCAATGAACGGAGAATCTTGTAGTTCGTCTCTTGAATAGTCAATTTCTTGTCAAGACCATACAATTCATTGATAATGTTAGTGAAGCGAGAAAACATAGCATCAATTGATTCATTTGGAAGCATTTGAAATAACTCATATTCATGCATAAGTCCACTAATCTTGGATTCCTTAACTTGGGGGTTCCTTCGCGTGTAATACACAATTTCACTCATATTTCGTATGCGGTTGCACACGTTGAAACTCTATTATATTCATTTGGGGAAAGACCACAAATTAAGGCGTTCATAGCCTTAGCATTGAGATTGGCTTGGTGCTTTTCTCTGTCGGTCATGTTCCCGACTTTGGACTTCTCTACATACTTCTTCTCTATGAGTTCTAAGATGTAAAGATCAATGCAACGAATATAAATTCTCATTCTTGCCTTCCAATAGGCAAAATTACTACCGGTAAACAGGGATGGTCTAGTGGTCGATTGTCCTTTCAACATATGCACATTCATTGAAGCCTCCATAAGATCTTTCTCTAAGGTGATTAAACCAAAAACTAATATAGAGACCAAGCTCTGATACCAATTGTTGGACCCTAGAGGGGGGGGAGGAGTGATTAGGGTCACAAGGCTATAATTGTGCAATAAAAATTAAGACAAGCAAAACACAATATCCAAAAGCAATCAATATAGAGGAGATAGAGTTAGGAATCGTTATCCTGTGACGCGCGATGTGTTAACAAGGTTCGGTCATGTGTTAACGAGGTTCGGTCCACTGACCTACGTCCCCGCTCCCCACTCTCGAGGAAAAATCCACTACACAACCCGGTTTGAAAGCCGGAACTTCTTCTACACAGCGATCCCCTCACGATCTCACACTACACAGTTGATCTCACTAGATCACACTCCCACACAATTGATCTCTACAAGATCAAGCTCTCAAAATAGTAGAAATTGGTGTAAAAACCCTCTTTTTATATTGTCCCTATGGCAAAGAGAAGATCACACTGAAGCTGGGATGTGAAACACAAGAATTCAGAAAGAAACAGATTTGAAAATTAAGCTCTGTAAAAACGTTCTCTGAAATATTTTGAAAGAGCTGGGACAATGAGGAAGAAGAAGAGTATAGGTTTAAATAGAAAACCACAGCTGTTTGAACCCATACCCAATCCCCTAAAACATGGAAACAAAACTGTGCTGAGATCGTGTGAAATCGACGTTGAAAATCTGTACCAGATGACCGTTTAAATTAAGCGGCGGTCGACCGTGACTTTTTCGCGGTCGACCGCGAGACAGCCCAGAAACGCAGAAAAGTCCAGAGACTTATGCGGTCGATCGTGGCGGTCAACCGAGGGAAATTCTCGAGCTCACGGTCGACCGCGGTCGACCGTGAAAGTCTCTGCTGCCCACTGACGGTCGACCGTGAAAGTCTCTGCTGCCCACTGACGAATGAACTCAGGCGCGGTCGACCGTGGCGGTCAACCGCAAACTGATACACTCAAAAAAAAAAAAACAGGTTTTTGACTCACTTAAAATATTTGTAAAATATTCATTTAACTTCTGAAAATTGTGAAACTTTGTAAAATATTTTTAATACTAAAAAAAATTTGTTTGGAAAATGAATTTTGCAAATAGGTCCTCATACTTGTGAAAAATAGTATTTTATGAAAAACGCTCAAAACTATATGTATGAAAATGTGTGTGTGATATCCCAATAGCTTCAGATGAAATCTAAACTATTTGCCTACATTTTAGCACTAGAGAGAAAAATAAAAACTAGCTGATATCCTCACGTAGAATACAATTCTTTAAGTCTTGATATAGCTTGAGTTGGATGAAGCTTCTTATTGCATTTGGTGTTCTTGAATGAACGTTGCTTCATCACTATGCCTCCTCCTCCTTTGGATATCATCGTTGTAGCGCATATTCCATCCAATCCTCCATTTGTGGTACTACCATGCTTGATATGTATATTAACTGTATTATCACTCAATAAGCAATTAGTACCGATAATGGTGGTTGTAAAACATCATCAAAACATAAGGGCTAACAGGACGTAGATCAATTTGATCGAACACGTAAATATTGTGTGTTTGTGATTGTCTCTCTATTTTCTGGTTTTGTGTTTAGTGTGTTAATTTTGGTATATTTGATCAGACCGTTGCGGACCGCTGAAGGTTAATTAACCTAACAAACTGGTATCGGAGCTTCTCGGCTCTAGGACAGCTTTCAATCCTCCACAATGGCTTCTGTGAAGTTCTTGGTGTCGATCTTCGATGACCAGAACAATTTCAGCCTATGGAGGATAAAGATGAAGGCTTTGTTGCGACGTAAAGGCACGGTTAAAGCTATCGATGGGAAATACCCAGAAGATATGACTAGTGCCAAGATCGAAGAGATGAACAAAAAGGCTAACAGCGGCTTGCAATTGTCACTATCCGACAATGTGCTTCGTGAGGTTGCCGATGAGAAAACGACAGCTGGGTTGTGGTCAAAGCTCGAAAGTCTCTACTTAAAGAAATCTCTTACTACGAGATTATACCTGAAGATTGTTGACTTTTTGGCTTGAATCCAAAATGGGTGGGACCCATTTCAAATATCTTCTCTCAATTTTAGATTGTAGAATGACAGCATATCTCGGGGAGATTTTTTATTTGATTGGGGGTCACTCTCACTTGTGGATCCCCCCAATCAATCATACTCTCATTTTATTTTCGGTGAGAGTTTTAACAAACATCAGAGAGACAGAGAGATATACAACCACAAGAGCTCTCAAAATTTTGTACTCGTGTGGAAACTCAGAGAGAAATAAAATTTAGCCCCCTCTTGCTGTGGACGTAGATCAATGTGATCGAACCACGTAAATATTGTGTGTTTGTGATTGTCTCTCTATTTTCTGGTTTTGTGTTTAGTGTGTTAATTTTGGTACATTTGATCAGACCGCTACGGATCGCTGAGGGTTAATTAACCCAACACAAAAACTGACGAGTCACACACTAAGCATAGCAATTATAAAATGACTTGCAAAATTTAATTAACTTAAGATACTTCTCAATATCACAAGTGAAATGAAAAAAAAGGACTCGTTTCCATAAAAATTCATTTAAACATATAAAATGATTTTATGGAATATGTGTAGTTTTAGCATGCACGTGCATGCACACGCAATCTGTGCACACTGCACACACTCCATTCTCATGGCATGTATCTATATATCCCACTTACGATTCTATTCTATCTTTATATGGCTATCTATACAGCTATGGAGATAAATGAGTGTCTGGTAATTTGCTGGTCTTGTTTCTAGACATTTGCTGGTCTTGTTTCCAATGTCACTTTTGAGCAGTGTACCACAACCGATATCAAATTCGTCCTCCTTTCCTTTCCTATCTTTTATGAATGTTGTGAATTGTAGGTCTGGAGGTCTTGGCTTTCCCATGCAACCAGTTTGGAGCCCAGGAACCTGGCAGCAACGAAGAGATCGTAGAATTTGCTTGCACCCGTTTCAAGGCTGAGTACCCTATCTTTGACAAGGTAATTATTCCCAAAATATCCTTATTTTCTAAATTATAGTGTACAAATATAGTTGTGTTTTACTCATCAGGAAAAAAAATTTCTAACCTTCATTCAACTCTGCCAAGTAGGAATTTTTACTCGACACTAATGTCAATATGCATCCATTTCGGAAAAATATTCTATTGAGGGTCCTTTATAGAAAATCATATGGGGAGGAAGATGATCTTTGTTAGAACATTAAATTATAAACCTCACTACTTCGGAGTTTTTTTAATTTAAAATCTGCATTAAAAGAAATGAAGTTTGTACTCTTAACAGGCCAATGGAATTCGAACGTTAACGTCCCTAACCATTACATCGAACACCAAAGTTGTAATGAGGGTTGAGGGTTATAATTTTATATTTTAACAATCTTGAAATGTATTTTTGTTAGAATACACAAAATCAACATGTGTCCGAGCAATTTGAGGGTTCAGTGCTGCGGACAAATTATGATTTTCTATAGGGGACCCTTTGTAGGATTTTTTCCATGAACATTGTACCTTAAGATCTACTGATGAGTATCATTTGTATGTATTGCAAAAATCATTTATGGACCCTAGATTTTTGAGCTATAAATAATCAGGTTATATAACTGTTGCACACTGGCATTTCATACTTAATGTATCTGCGCACAAGTACGCCTAATACCTGCTGGGAAAAAACTTTAAGGCTTGGTTGTACTTCATTACCCAATAATTTCACCTAGTTTGCACACATATACCCCCCACTGTATTTGGCTGCACTTAAATACCCTAAAGTTTCTAAAATTTTCGCTATAGTATGCTCAATTATGCATACATGAGCATTTCTCGTAAAAATCTCACTCTAACATTCACATACTAATTTATAACATTTTCATCCTTCTTTTTTGTTAAATCTACTGTTAAGCCTATCAAAATCCTATTGTTAACATATCCTAATTTTATAACATTTTAACCCTTATTTTGTGTTAAATCTACTGTTAGACCTATCAAAATTCTACTTAAAACCAATCCAAATTCTATTTTAAACATATTCAATTCTTATTTAAAATAGGATTTTGATGGGTTTAAAAGTAACTTTAACAAATATTAAGATTTAAAATATTCTAAAATTTGCATGAGGGTGTCACATGAGAATTTTCGGGGGGAAATTCTCACGTTTGTATAATCGAGGGTACTAAAATGCAAATTTTAAAACCTTTAGGGTATTTAAGTGCATTCAAATACAATTGGGGGTAATATGTGCAAAATAGGTGAAACTATAGGGTAGTTAAGTGCAATTAAGCCAAAATTTAATGAACTGTGTAGAGAGTTATATGACCTACAATCATCACCATCTATAACTTTGTCTTTGAGGAGAACATTGGGCTCTCCTTTTGCCTTTCTTACATGAGCAACTTAAATTAGAAGCCCTAAATATTTGCTAGATTCCTTATTTGGGTAACTTGCCTCTACATTACATTTTAGATCTCAATTGCTCTGGAGGTAAAGTTAGTTCTTGCATTTTTGGGTTCCTCTAAAACTACATATCTATTTGACATAGGTGGATGTTAACGGGGACAATGCTGCACCGATCTACAAGTTCTTGAAGTCGAGCAAGGGTAGCCTGTTCGGGGACAACATCAAGTGGAACTTCTCCAAGTTCTTGGTCGATAAGGATGGTCATGTCCTTGAGCGTTACGCACCGACTACTTCCCCTCTCAGTATCGAGGTAAAAAATAACTTTAAAACCTCAGATTAATTCAAATCGTAACCTGTAGGATCTACATGACATGTATTTATTTTTCTATTTGCAGAAGGATATCAAGAAGTTGCTGGGAGTCTCCTAAACTCAGTGAGGTTTAGAGTTGGACGTTGGGGTATAAGTAAATTTGGGACTATGCTTTAAATGTACCTGTTATCAATAAATTTGGAACTATGCTTTTAATGTACATATGTAAGAGATGTTGGATCTAGTTTATTACTTCTGTTCACACTTCAATAATATTTTTGATGCCTAATAAAAATGGAGTCTTCTTGCAAATATGTGCAACTCATGATTGTTGGGGGTTTAAACTTGCTACTTTTTTTTCTTATTAAAGCTTGCCCCTTCAAGTGCTAGGGTGTTTTTGCTTGCGAACTATGTGAAATTGTCTGCTATCAACTTTGGTCGTCGTAAAAAAAATCTTTTTTTTTTTATGTATAACCATTTTATCTATTTCATAAGATTATTGACTGGAATGAATTGGTTAAGTAAGTTGACAAGATTTGGGATGCAGCTACAGAGGCAGTGCGGGGATTTAATATTGAACAGTTAGATGTAAACTCCATGCTATAATCATTAACTTCTCAAGATATATTCTATTGAATAATACCAATGAAGATACATATAACTTTTTTTTGGCTCCCGTGCCCACAAAAAAGAAAAAAGAAAAAAGAAAAAAGGATTAGCGGCGCAGCTTGTTGTCCGCTTGTCATCATCACTTGTGTAATATTTTTTTATTTATTTATTATATAAAAAGAAAAAAAAAAGAAGAAAATTTCCTTTAAAAAAAAAAAAGAAAAAAGGAAAAAGAAAAAAGTAAACAAATATCAGTTCATCTGACTTCTAAGTTATAGATAATTTACGTCCATCCTCTAATACTGTAATTATATCTGAGAAACAAAACTGGGTAGAATATGATATCGAAAACAAGTTCATCAATTTGTAATGTTTAACAAGAATAAAAACAGATAAAATACAGAGATCTATCATAAGTGCATCCAAATTTCATAGTTAAGATAAGGGCGCTTGCATCCATTTCTTAACATAGTAAAGTAATACAAGAACAGGTATGTAAATATGAATAAGGACATAAGAAATGAATGTGGGTAATTGTTCCTAGTAAGGTGAATTTATTTTTTGTCTAACAATTTAAATTTGCAGCTTTATCTTTGTATCAGGTGCATGGTTATCTCAAAATGTTATTTCCTTCAAGTTTTTTTCATATTTATTTATTTTTTTATTTACATTTATAAGGAAACATTATGTTGTTTGTTTTATATGGGATATGGATGAGGACAGGATGACCCCAGTTCAAAAGTTATCTCATTAAGCATTGAAATGCAATAAAAGAATAGGAACGATAGAGTAGAAAAGATAAATAATAATAGGGAAAATCATATAAATGCATCTAGAAATCAAATGACTATGAGCACATTGACACCATTAATAAAAACAATAATTTGGATATCATAAAGCCATTTCAAGTATGCAAATCAAATTAACAAATTATATTGAAGGCATCCAGGAATGAAATGGAACTATGTGCACATCATGCACCAGAATTTCTGTAGCTGCAGTCTCCGATATATCTCTACATAAACGTTTGGTATATCTATGACAAGTCCTACATTTAATAGTAAAATATGATATATTTTTAGCCATATCCTCCATCAAAAGTTCTATATATGTATGTGATATGCTACTTCTGTTTGCAAGAAAAAGAGAAACCTGCAAATAAAATTAGTCCACATTAACAAGACAGACGTTGCATGCAGAGGAGATTTCTTAACGCTTTCGGGACACTTATACCTGCAAATTATTTTTATTTTTATTTTTTCAAAATTTTGAACTAACCTGCAACCCTTGATCAATTCTTCTTCTTGGTTATTCAGCAACGGCGTGCTCCTGAGGAAAAAAAAAAAAAAAACCCGACCGTGCTTTGAAAAATTGTCAATAGAATTGACTTAATTGGCAGTTGTCATTTCACGTGAGTAGGTTGGTCCCACCACACTCATGATCTCTTCATGGCAGTACACGCGGTTTTCACAAACCCAATGGAATCCCACGAACAAATTTGTAGGCCCCACACCGAAAACAAAACAACTCCTCACGTGACGTGGGTCCCCATGTCCACTTCTCCCACACACACACATGCCTCCCAACAGCAGTTGCAACCAATTTTAATACCAACAGCATTTATAGACTCCACAATGAGCACTCCACCTCCAAAAAGTCCACCGAATTGTCAGCCTCAATTATTAAAAATTAATTAGAGCCGGCCCCACCTCATTTCAAATCACCCAAAGCGGCAGCCATCTTTGAAGTTTTGAAAAGAAAACAAAATGGCGGGCCTATTGCTACAGTAAAATATTAATATTTTATTGTACATAGTATTTTTCTAAAAACTATAAGGGGCTGTTTGGTTGTTGTTGGTAAAGTTGTGTATTTATGTTGTTGGTAAAGTTGTGTATTTATGACACAACTTGGAAAGTTGTCCACCTCATCAATTTCACTTTTATATTTTTCTTTGTTTGTTTTTGATTCCATTGGAATCATAAAACACTTGTTTGGTTTGCAAAATGAAACTTTAATTGTTTGTTTGGAAAGTGTAAAAAGTGGTCCCTACTCAAATGATTATATTGGTTGGAATTATTTTTTATTATTTTTTCCTAACTTCAATGTTAGCTTTCTCCTAAAATCATGTCTTTTTTTCATGAAATCACTTTACAAGCCACATCAGCATATGAAATCACTTTACACTATTTTCACAACTACAAACAAACAATTGAAAGTGATTAAAGCTGACATTGGGACCCACTTTTTTACACTTTACATCCTTTTACATGGTAAAAACATACAACCAAACAGCCCCTAAATAGGGCTCTAAATCCTTAAGAAAATCTCATCCCAGAAACAACTTCTTATATAAGAAGAGTGAGAGAAAAAATAGAGAGAGTTTCTCCTTGTAAAGAGAGAGAGTTTGTAACTCCAGAGTTTTCTCCTCATAGTAGATTCTTCTATCCTTGCCCGTGGACGTAGGCAATCAAGTGCCGAACCACGTAAATCTGTGTGTCTATCATTTTATCTCTACTTTTGCTTTACTATTGCTGCGACCCTGCTCTATTGGGCCCCGAGTTTGTCCCAACACGAATGACTTAGTCCATAGCTACTGCTCTTCTGTTGCATTTTATAAGTAGCCATCAGCTTCACAAAGAAACCATTTCTTCTTCTTATTCTATGATGAAGAGATCCCTTATCCTCCTCCTTACATTGTGCTTCTTTCTCCTATGCAGAACTACCCATCTAAGCTTAGCTTGCCAAGATAATGAAAGACAAGCTCTTCTTACTTTCAAACAAAGCCTACAAGATACCTGTAATCTTCTCTCAGATTGGAGAGGCGTCAACTGTTGCGAGTGGAGAGAAGTGGGTTGCGACAAAGATACCGGGCATGTGATAAAACTCAGCATCGGCCACTTGATCACTGGCCAGTTTTCTGTATGTCCGATAACAAGCGATAGTTTCGATCGATCTTTATCTACCTTGAAATATTTGCAGCATTTGGACTTGAGCAATGTCGCGTTCTCCCCGGGTAATATCCCACAATTTATTGGTTCTTTCACAAATTTGAGGTATCTCAACATCTCAGGAACTAGTCTTATTGGTAAAATTCCACACAATCTCGGGAACCTCAAGTACCTGAAATATCTTGATTTCAGTGATATTTCTTCGAATTTAGTAGCTGATAGCCTTCAGTGGCTCTCTCACCTGTCTTCTTTAATGTATCTCGATATGTCCGGTGTGAACCTAACTCATGCAACTGATTGGGTTCTTTCCGTTCAAGACCTCCCTTCTCTCTCTGTGTTGAAACTGTCTCGGAGTAATTTGCCTTCTTCTCCTCTTGCTTCTGCTTCTGCTCTCAATACTAACATGTCATCGATCACAACGCTTGATCTTTCGCAAAATTCATTCAGTGATGGCACTATAATTGACAGGTTTCTGCTCAGCCTTAGCAGCAGTCTCGTTAATCTCGATCTTTCTTATTGCTCAATGTATGAACCTTTTCCTCGATCCTTGAAGAACTTGACATCCCTCAAAGTTCTTGATCTCTCTGCCAACAATTTCAATGGGTCTCTTCCAGAGAGTCTCGGCGAACTCTCTCAGTTGGAAAGCTTAGATCTTCTTAGCAATTTCTTACATGGGTTGATCCCCGGAATACTTAGTCACCTCTGCAATTTGCGCCATTTAGTGCTTTCAAGAAATAATTTTGTTGGAGATATGTCCCATATGCTACAAGGTGAAACTAGATGCAAGAGATTTACTTTGGAGGAATTGGATTTATCGTTCAACCAACTAAATGGGAGCTTACCTGATTGGGTTTGGCATATGCAAGATCTCAGCATGCTTGATCTTTCTTATAATGCGTTGGGTGGCGTTATTTCAGATACTCAGCTTGCCAATATGACAAAACTGAAGAAATTGTCGCTTACTGGTAACGGGTTGATTCTTAACATGAGCTCCGCTTGGGTGCCTCCTTTCAAGCTAAACACTATAGATTTGAGATCTTGCAGAATGGGTCCTCGGTTTCCTTCATGGCTTAAGACACAAAGTGGATTTGACTATTTGGATATATCTGATGCAGGAATCCTTGATATGATCCCCAGTTGGTTTCCTAATGCATCTTATGCAGCTGATTATTTGAATATATCATATAACCAGATAAGAGGTGAGATTTCTACGTCGCTGAAATTTCTAAGCGCCACAGTCATCGACATGAGCTCCAATCTGTTTCAAGGAAAACTGCCTTTGCTGAACGCTAGTGTACAATCTATTCTTCTTGGTGACAACTTGTTTTCAGGAGATACTCGACCAATCTTAAATGCAGAAATGCTGAATTTGAGGGATGTTATACTTTCACAAAACCTTCTGTCCGGTGAAATTCCCTCAGCTATATGCAACTTGTCATCCATGCAACTCATCGACCTCTCTAATAATTACATATCAGGAAAAATTCCTGTATGTCAGTCCTACAATGCCTCGTTGCAATCACTTTATGTTATAAATTTGGCAAACAATCACCTCAGCGGTTCGATTCCTCCGTGGATGGCTGGTCCAGTTCCTCACTCAGCACTTGAATCCAATTTGATTGTATTACGTCTGAACAATAACAGTTTCCATGGTGAAATCCCTTCTTTCTTGAGATACTGTAACAGTATGACTATACTTGATCTTGGAGAAAATAAGTTAACAGGGAACATACCTTCATGGATTGGAGAGGGTCTATCATCATCTTTGAGATTTCTTCGCATGCGCTCAAATATGTTAACAGGCAAAATCCCACTACAACTGTCATATCTGACTTCTCTTCAGGTGTTGGACCTGGCACAAAATAAGCTATCAGGAGCCATACCACATTCATTTAAGAATTTTACTGCAATGACTGAAGCAAATAGGACAGTGGAAGACATCATCAACTATATAGATGGCGCATCTCATTTAGTCGAAATTGCGTCTTCGAAATTTGAAGAGGTAGTAGAGGTGGAGGTAAAAGGAAGAGAGCTTGAGTACACAAAAACACTCTCTCTAGTTATGGTCCTCGATCTTTCATGCAATAACCTATCTGGAGAACTCCCTTTAGAACTGATGGACCTCATCGGTTTGCAGAGCTTGAACTTATCAAAGAACCAGTTGCAGGGAAATATTCCTGATAAGTTTGGCGGCATGGCACAACTGGAAGCTCTTGACCTGTCGATGAACCGCTTATCCGGAAAAATTCCTGGGAGCATAGCTTTGCTGACCTCATTGAGTTACCTGAATCTTTCTAATAATGACCTGTCAGGTAGAATTCCATCAGGCAACCAGATTCAGACTCTCACCGATCCATCCATTTACGCTGGAAACAGTGATCTTTGTGGATCACCGCTACCCAAATGCCCAGGCGATGAGCACTCCAGGGTTCCAACTCAAGGTGCAGGTGCTGAAGATGAAGGCGGCGATTCAGATATGTTCGAGCTGTATCTCGGCATGGGCATAGGATTTGTGGTCGGGTGGTGGGTTATCTGCGGAGCATTTATTTTCAAAAACTCTTGGCGGGTTGCATGTTTTCGGTACTACGATCACATGGAAGACAAGTTCGTCGCAGCAATGGGTACTTTTCGAAGAAAGATCTTGCTTGCGCATCAAGGCCGAGATTGAGCAACTTCAGGGCTAGTTACTTAATTTATATTCACTAGTACAGAGATGGCTCTCCCTTACCCAACTCCAAACTCCATCGCCAACGACCATCAATCTAGAGATCTCCGGCCATTAAAGTTTAACCCTAGCGATCTCCGGCCACCATCTCCTCTTCCCAGAATTTCCACCACCATCTCCACCGCAGTCGACATCCTTCGGATTTATTTATTATTTAAAAATTGTATTGAATACATATCAAATTAAAGGATTTGAGAATAGTGTCTAATTTGTGATTAGAATTTTGAATCATGAGTAAAAATGGGAGTGTGATTGAGGTAAGGTTTAATAGTTATTTTTCTGGGGCTTTTCTCTATGTTTTGATACTAAATGTTCTACTTTAGGCTAGTATTTATTATGAAATTATAGTTTCTTGTATATTGTTTTCTCCTTTTTTTTTGTGTTCGGATCTCTCTTGAGGTTGGGAATTGGTTACAGGAATTGCCGAACGACTTTAGTTTAAGATTCTTTTGTTTTCAAAATTTATGATTGATCTGTTGGGACTTTGCAGAGAATAGTGATCCAAGGCCTACGTGAAAACGAAGACTTAAATTGCTTAAACTTTGTAGGTATAAGTTCCTTTTTACTGAATCTCTTTCTTAATTTGATGCTTAAATAAATTGTTGCATACTCTTCGACTAGTATTTTAGCCTATGCTAAGCATGGTCTTATCACAATTCATCTATATTTTATTGTGTATCAATTACTCATATTCGAATATAATTTTTAATATCTAACGGTTCAATGCCTTTCGAAGAACATGAACCCCACCCTCCCTTACCTCCATTGAGGTTAGAGAACATGTACCCATCTTAGAGGCGTGGCTGACAATTTGGGGGCCCGGTTCTAAATTTCAATCGGGGCCTCTTAATCAATCTTCGGAAGAAATTAATAATTGTTTTCATACGTAGTACTAACCATGAAAAGAAATTTTTATATCTAGAATTAAAATAAACATTAACACATAACAATGGTTCTGTGCAAAACATATTACGTGCAAAATATTGATAGTAAAAAAAAGATACACAAAATCAACATCTTACTAATAATCTTGACATGTCCAACATCAAAAACTTCACTGGAAAACTTTACTCCTTGCATTTTTTGTTGCAAAGTCATCAAACAAAGCTTCATAATCAATATTGTCTAAGAATCCACTTTCAACTGAGAGCAAAGCCAGTCCGTTTAGCCTCTCTTGCGACATGGTTGATCTCAAGTATGATTTTAATATCTTTAACTTTGAGAAGCTCCTTTCTGCCAATGCAACCGTGACATGTATAGTCAACAAGATTCTATATGTAATGCTAGCAGCTGGGAAACAATTCATCCTCTTCAAGAAATTCAATATGTCAATGGCTTTCATATTTTCTGATGGCAACATATTTTGTAAGATTAGCAACTCTGCAAATAATTCATCTCCATCAACATCAGAACAACTTCCTTTCTTAAGACTGTTTGCAAGATTAGCACAACAAGCTTTTAAATCATCATTCTGATATGCACATAACTTTTCCGGTCTAAATAAAAACCTAAAAATATTCCCGTATGTCTAATACTGTTCAAATCTTCTCTCTAATGAACCAATAATTTGATCAACTAGTAATAGAAAATAATGAACTCTGAAATTTTCCTCACCCGACTACTGAGTTAACTCTGATGACTGAGCTCCAACCTCATCAAAATGTCTTTTTCTAAAGATTTGTCGCTTCTCAGAAAATACTGGATTAACTCCCAAAGCAGCAACAAGTGTTTTGATAGTAATCATGGCCTCTGCAAACCCAGTTTCTCTATACTTTCTGAAAGAAACAATCAGATCTAGACCATTTACTAATTCTATAACAACATCAATTGAAATGTCTTTCTCTTGCAAACGCTTACTAACCTTGTTAACAGTCACCAATATCTTATACCAAATAGTCATGCCTAATAAAAACACAAAATCCCCAAGCTCGTACTTTGCTAAAGATTTAGCTTCACTTCTTATTTTTGTGTCTTTGTCATTTTCTTCTAATTGAAGTAAAGCTTGTCTGATCTGTAGAGGTTGTGGTTGAATTACCTTAACACTTTCATCACGACTTTTCTAACGTGTGGTCGATAATGGCTTGAGAGTAACTCCTATAAGATTAGCCATTAAAATCTTCCAACGTTTTGTAGAATTTACGAACAAGGAATAAATTGGTTGTACTACTCCAAATAAATCCTGAGCTTTGACGTTACAGTTTGCTATATCACAAAGGGTTAAATTAAGGCTATGACAAACACATGGAGTGTAAAATGCTCTTGGATTAATATTTAGAAGTCTACTCTGTACACCTTGCTTATGCCCTAAGGCTATGACAAGCACATGGAGTGTAAAATTCTCTTGGATTAATATCCAGAAGTCTACTCTGTACACCTTGCTTATGCCCTTTCATATTCGATCCATTATCATATCCTTGTCCTCGAACATTATCAATGTCAAGTCCAAGACCCTTAGAGCCATCTGCAACTCCTCAAAAAGTCCAAGGCCACTTGTTTCATCCACATTCAAAAATTATATGAAAATACTCATCCACTTTAACTGGACTAGCAGTGACATCCACACATCTCAAAATCAGAATCAGCTGTTCTTGGTGACTAATATCAGGAGTACAATCAAGTATAACAGAAAAGTATTTAGCTTCTCTAACCCGAGATATGATTGTACCTCGGATTTCAGAAGATATCATGAGTATCAACTCATTTTGGATAACATTACTTAGATAATGATAATGGATCTGCTTATTCTGAATGCGACGAAGATGTTCCTCCATCACTTTATCATGCTCTACCACCATCTGAACTAATCCCATAAAATTTTCATTATTTTCTTTATCAATCCTCTAATTTTTGCCCCGAAAAGCCAAATTGTATTTAGCAAGATATTTTACAATAGAAATCAACCTTCGTAACAGTTTTCTCTAATGCTCATTCTCTTTCATGATATGATCTTGGAAAGATTTGTCAATTGTCTGACCCTTTTCCAATCTAAGCTGCAACTCAATCCAAGTAGCCATGTTATGAATATGCACCTTACTAACTTCATATTCATTAAGCCGCACACCCACATGTGACCAATCATTATATCGTTCATTTGCTAGCTCAGTTATCATAGGTTTTTTTAAACAACTTACAATAAAAACAAAATGTTTTATCAATCTCCTTGCAGTATACAAGCCATATCCTATCAGATGTCTCTCCATTATGTATGTGTCGAGTGTATAATCCTGAAGTAAAGCGTTCAAGCCATATCCTATCAGATGTCTCTCCATTATGTATGTGTCGAGTGTATAATCCTGAAGTAAAGCGTTTATTCAATCTATCTTTAGGACCTGTGTCGAGTGTATAATCCTGAAGTAAAGCGTTTATTCAATCTATCTTTAGGACCTTTTTTTATCGACATATCTCTTACGGGATCTTGTACAGCTAACAAATCTCTCCATTGATCATCCAGACTATCCCAAACTCTAGGATCATAAAGGTTCACTGGAACTTGCTCACTTGGTTCCTTAATTAAGTCATTAAGAACTACATCCAAATTCTCATTAAGCCCTTCTTCATCAGATTCGGTGTCACCATTCTTATTGTGATTCATACCATCAACATCTGCATTGCCATCATTCTCATTAGGACTTGGATCATCACCATGATTTTCATCAAGTCCCTCATCTTCAATCAATTCCTCATTATCATTATCATCGTCTTCATCAACTAAATCTTCAGTTGAAATAGTTGGACGTTCTCTGACAAAGAACCTGTCAAGAGCACCTCGTTGTGATCGAGTCAATTGTTTCTCCTTTTTTTGTTTCCTCTTCAAACTTCCAGATTTGTACTTTCTAGGTGGCATTATTTCCAATCTTGAACAAAAAAAAGGAAACAATCAACAAAACAACCAAATTTGAAAAATCAATTTGATAAAGGTTAACTATAATCAAATTCAATCGACCCGACATTGATTTAATTTTATAATACTAGGTTAAAAAATAATTTAATACTACCCCCATCAACTAAAACGCTATTTAGCCAAAATGTTTAAGCATTTTCTGATAAAATTAAATTAACCACAAATAACAAGAGAACGAGCTTACTGCTAAGATCTAGAACAACACTAGTAGCAGTAAGGGCATGACGTATAGAGGGTCTTGCTTCTGCAATCTTAATGGAAAACTTTCTACCTGTTTCAAAGAAAATAGTGACAAATTCATCTCTTTTAAAATTCTTCTTTCATTTGATTTTATTGCAAGATTCTAAATTAGATAGAAATCAAGAACAATTTCAACTAAAAAAATTAGTAAAATATATGAAATTAAATGGAGAAACAAAAAAGGGAGATAAATTGAAATTGGGGATATATACCTATTACCTAATATCTCACTACCTCAATCCCGGTAGCGGTGAATGTTTGCGTCAAAAGTTGGTTTTGTCATGGAATTCATTATATCTTCTGTCGATTACAATAAATTAAAAAAAAAGATAGCCTTTTTATAAGACTTCTTTTACACAACAAAATGAAAATTACAACTCTTGGGAAACAAACACAGGATCGTTGTTTGGATCGCTGCTTGCGTAGGATCTTTGCCTGTCCCGGGAGCGCTTTGACTCGTGGACCACCAAATCACAGATTCTGATCGAATTGTGAGGGGTTTATGATTCTGACTTCATTTATCGAAGTGAGAACTTGAAACGATATCTTATCAAGGTAAGATAGTCGTTCTTCTTGAAATCAAGTCAAAGCCTGAATATCAAGGAGTTACCAGAAACTCAAGAACTCTGCTCTTTCTCTGCTCTGAAGTGCTCAAAATGATCAGCCCCCTCAAAAAATGGCCTTCGGGGGGTATTTATAGCCCCTATGAACAGTTGGCGGAAAACAGGCTCGCGAGACAACATTTGCTGTCTCGGCTGTCGAGACAGTATTTGCTGTCTCGGCGGGCGAGATAGTGTTTGCTGTCTCGGCCCGCGAGACAGTAAATACTGTCTCAGAAAAGGCATATTCCTGGCAGTTTTTGTTTTAACTGTCTTTCCACGTTTCAAACTCCGTTATTTTGGCAGTTATTCATGTGATTCTCACGTGCGAGACAGTAAATTCTGTCTCGCACGGCGAGACAGTAAAGACTGTCTCGCACGGCGAGACAGTCAAGTCTGTCTCGCGTGCGAGACAGTAAAGACTGTCTCGTGTGCGAGACAGTCTATACTTGTGTTCTTTTTTTAACATTTTGGATGACTTCCTTTTGAGCTGTGTTTGGATATCTCTCAGCATTTTTTAACGCCTACAGATACCCCCTTCAAAGTATTCCAGACTCAATCTTTTATAGAGGAGTTCTGGGATGCTTTGGATAAGATAGGTTTTACTTATGATCCTT